GAGGTATACCTATGATGAAAATTACAGGCCTCTCTCATCTTTTTAAGTGGGAGAACTTGCACAATTGGTGTCTGTCTAAATTCTTTTTTCCCCACTGTATATACACACACACACACATTTATAAATTCAATATATATATTATTTCATTTCCATTTAGTTTGTTGTAGTAAAATAACTCCAATTAAATAAAACTAAAACTTAATAAAATACCTATACAGAGATAATAAATTCAGACATAATTTAACTCAAAATAAATGACTAATACAAATCAAACGACAGTAGTTTATCAGTAATCCTTACACATAGTAAGAAATGGCTATAAAAACTGAAACGGAAGTGAAACAAGTAGTAGGAAAGAGGAGAAATAAAAAGCGATACTTACCCTTTGCCGGTGTCCTGCCCTGTAGAGTCGATGGTCTTTACCCTCTTCGGTCTTCACACAAGGAGGCAGTCACTGTTAAACTAAGCTTTTTTTTTTTATACCCGTCTAACAAAATACTTAATTCAGCTGGACACACTTTCCTTATTTTTTCCACAACAAATGGCCAAGCAAGCGCAGACACTGACAAGATACGCAATACAGAACGAGACCAAACGCGATATCAGCACGTCTCCACACAGTAAACAAAACAAGCGTTTCCTAGCAACGACAACTGCACTAAACACTAACGAGACAAGTAAATACACTTACGAGCTGCTTTTAACTTCCGCTGATAAAGACTGCTTCTTTCAAAGAGTATTTCTTTACACTGTATTCTGCTGGCGCTTGAACACACTTTCCTTATTTTTTCCACAACAAATGGCCAAGCAAGCGCAGACACTGACAAGATACGCGATCCAGAATGAGACCAAACGCGATATCTCATTCAGATTGAGGGCTTGAGGTTTGTGTGTCCTACATGACTTTTACAATTGACTTTACTGAGCTGTGACAGGTATACAGATACATTTGAATGGCTGTTGATGGAGAAAGATGATGTTTACAAGTCTAACCAGCAAAACCATGATCCATGATGATGGTTCAGACAAACAAATAGCCCCAAACTCATGTAATTGGAGTCAGTGTTGCAATGTCTGTCTGCTCAAACAAATTGCAATTCAATTTGGTGTTGCAATAGTCACAGAAATTGCGTGTTGCACCTATAATGACTGTATGGTTTGTAGCCTGCAGTGAAACTTGGTTTATCATGGTTTTGGTTCACATTAAAAAAAGTTCTAACTCTGTTTTTCTTTTTTTGTGCCCTCCAAACTGGTCCTGCTACGTACAGCATTCAGTCTTGACACAGAACAGCCAGATTATGACCTGGACTCTGAGGACGAGACATTTGTAAATAAACTGAAGAAAAAGATGGATGTGGGAGCCCTGCAGTTTGAAGAGATGATCGACCGGCTGGAGAAAGGAAGCGGACAGCAGGTACCAGAGGCAGGCAGAATTGGGAATAGTCAGAAGATTTGGATTTTAATCATTGTTGAGCTTGTTTTTAATGGTTGTTATGGTACTGATCTGTACTCTTAAGGTGGATTTTAGAGATGCACCGATTGCAATTTTCTTGGCCAATTCCGATTTCCGAAGTGTGACCTGCCGATACCGATTTTTGCCGATTACGATTTTCTTTTGAAGAACTATAATTGACAGCATATACAAACAAAAATCTCCTTTTTTTTCAATGCAAAACATTATTTTAAATAATCTTTTATCAAGTTTCAATTAAGTCAGTTAGAATAAGACACTGTGCAGTTGCTACTATTCAAATGAAATCGGTATCAACAAACTGTCTTTCCACTGCAGAGGAAACAGAAGCTGCATCTGAAGTGGTGTTAGATGTATTTACAAAGACAGTTTAATGAAGCTGAGAGGTGCCATAAATGAATTTGCACCGCAAAATTGTAAACGTATAAGTAGTTATAAGATTAATGTTTTAAATACTTTTTTGAACATACAAATAAGAGATGTTGGGAAAAATGCAATGATACTTTTAAATATGAAACCAAACCACCAGTAGGTGGTGGCAAATTACTGTTTTAATAAGGGAGTCATTTATTCAGCCGATTCATTCAAATATTTATGAATGGGTCACTGAATCATTGACTCACTCGATTCGTTCAAAAACTTAGATTCATTCAGTAACAAAACACAGCTGTGTTGCTCGGAGACACAACAGTTCTGCTCTTGCTTTAATTGGAACGATTTTCGTCAGTGAAATTGAGCAAAAACAGTCAATATTGTGTCTAAAATGTAAGCCACTTAATTTTAACTTGTTTATTGAGCTACTATTGTATAAAATCAGTGTCACATTGCAGTCATGCTGATATTTGGGGAAACATCTTGGTTGTCATGTTGCTTACCTATATAATAGCTATATTGTAAATATCTAACACAAACTTGTAAAATAAATTTTAATGGGCATAATTAAGTGTGAAAATAACAGAAGGATATACAGTGAAATTATTCAGAGACCAGATATAATTTGATATTTTTTTACTAGTGGGTGCAGTCAATATTGTGTCTAAAATGTAAGTCACTTAATTTGAACTTCTTGTTTATTGAATACTACTATTGTATAAAATCAGTGTCACATTGCAGTCATGCTGATATTCGGGGAAACATCTTGGTTGTCATGTTGCTTACCTATATAATAGCTATATTGTAAATATCTTCTTTTTTTTTTTTTTCTAACGCAGACAGTATAGAGCAATTATAGGTTTGCAAACATTCAGGATGCGCGCGCATCATGGTTGCAGAAAACACGGGAGAGAGAACCTTTAGGGCTAGAGAATTTTACGGATACGGTACAAAATAGTTAGGTTTAAAATTATTATAAATTATATTGATTAGATATCATTTTCAAAATGTTCTCCGCATATTACAAGAGCTTGTCACCCAGCGATGATAAACTGTTATTCAACGAAATTGACGTTAGAGAGTGGGATAGTCTTACAGATCCGAAACGGGGATGACATTTTTTGTGGGCGGAGCCTATCTGGAGGCAGAAAATGACGGTTTTCAAGTGGCAGTCTATAGAGCCATGGTATAAAAGAATTAAAAAAAGGTAAATATTTCAAAATTCAGACTTTATTCTTGCAATTCCGAGATTATCTCACAATTCTAATAAGGAAAAACAACTCGTCATTCTCTTTTCCCCTCGGCTCTTCTGGCTTTTTTCCCTCATATTTGACACTCACTATTTTTGAGTTAAGTCGAGTTATAAAGTCCGAATTAGGAGATATAAACTTGCAGTTGCGAGAAAAAAAAGTCAGAATTGTGAGAAAATAAATAAATGTTATGTAATACGGTACAAAATAGTTAGGTTTAAAATTATTATAAATTATATTGATTAGATATCATTTTCAAAATGTTCTCCGCATATTACAAGAGCTTGTCACCCAGCGATGATAAACTGTTATTCAACGAAATTGACGTTAGAGAGTGGGATAGTCTTACAGATCCGAAACGGGGATGACATTTTTTGTGGGCGGAGCCTATCTGGAGGCAGAAAATGACGGTTTTCAAGTGGCAGTCTATGGAGCCATGGTATAAAAGAATTAAAAAAAGGTAAATATTTCAAAATTCAGACTTTATTCTTGCAATTCCGAGATTATATCTCACAATTCTAATAAGGAAAAACAACTCGTCATTCTCTTTTCCCCTCGGCTCTTCTGGCTTTTTTCCCTCATATTTGACACTCACTATTTTTGAGTTAAGTCGAGTTATAAAGTCCGAATTAGGAGATATAAACTTGCAGTTGCGAGAAAAAAAAGTCAGAATTGTGAGAAAATAAATAAATGTTATGTAAAAATGTTAATAGTAAGTTTTAAATCATATTTCATGCTGTAACTGTAGGGCTAATACAATACATCCCCTATGAACAGCATATGTGAATATTATGTAGACCTATTGTTTAAATCGAATTTATACTTTAAAAGTAATCATAGCAGTTTTCATCCATAGTATGTCCATTTAAAAGTCTGCGTTTAGCTTCAAATGTCGTCTTTGACGACCGTATTCTATAAAAATTATTTGCATTCCGATCTTGACATCAAAAGGCACAATTTTTTTTTCCTTTTATTCCATGGATTTTACCCATTTACCTCCACTTGTTCCCAGTGTTTTTCTGCAACCACTATGCGTGCGCAGCTACAAGTGATGTAACCGGGACGTCTACTCTGAATTGGTCTATACATGTATACATTTCTGTGAGTTACTTGTGCTGTTGTGCTCATTTGTTTTGATTTCTGCACGAGTCTCTCTCTCTCTCTCTCTCTCACACACACACACACACACACACACATCAGACAGGTTGCGCGAGTCTCATCTGGCATGACATAAATACATCAGTCTTCGTTAACACTGAATGCAGTAAAACCATTCTCGTGCTAAATTTTTTAGTGGCCAAGTTTCAATGCTTCCCTAGTTATTTTTGCCAATTGACGTTTTATTCAGGCTTTTTTTCCGGTCAGGCAAGTAAAATTCTCTCTCTTCCTCCTCAAAAAAAAAATCTACTTGGCCCAGAGAAGCATTAATCGAGCCCTGTGGTTCCCCCACGGTTTACTTTGGTCCTACACATATTACAAATTGCGAACTTTGTATCGTCTTCACTCACAGTGAAGAACTTCCATGCAGACGACATATTTATATGCAGATGTGAGCGTAGCTGTGACGGCACAACAGTCACCGGTCCAGGCCGATCATGCGGAAAATCAGCTGGTTCCGGTCTCTGGCCAGTCAATCGGTGCATCTCTAGTGGATTTTATTTGATGACCGTTCTGTAAAAACAATAATACAGTATAAATAGCAGGTAGCTTTATATATATA